AAAACTAGCAGAAATAAGCTAAAAGGAGCATAAAAATCTGAAATGAGTTTTAAAAAAAAAAGTGGAATTAACTGAAAAAGTAAAAAAAAAAAACATAAAACAGCTAAGTAGTAGCTGTAATTACTAAAACTAGCCGAAATAAGCTAAAAGGAGCATAAAAAGCTGAAATGAGTACAAAGAAGTTAATTAGGTGAACGTAGCCAAAGTTTCAACAAAATAACTTAAATTTATCTGAAATTAGCTAAAAATAAGCTTTCAAAAAAAGGTGGCTAAAAACATAGAACCAGTTTAAATTACCAGAAGAAAACAGAAAGAACATGTTTGCCCAGTTAGGCTTAAAGAAGCAGAAATGAGGACAAAGAAGTGGAAATTATCTGCAAAAAGCTGATATTAGCCAAAAAGCAGCTGAAAATGGCAGAAAGAAGCTTAAATTTTCAGAAGGAAGTGGAGAGAGCACGTTTTTTATTAATTAGGGTGAAAAAGGTTTAAATGATTGCAAAAAATATAGAATTTGCCAAAATGGCTAAAATGAACATAAATACAGCAACATAGTAGCTGAAAAAGCTGACACAGACATCAGCTGAAAGGAGAACAAGCTGAAATCAGCAGAAACAAGTTACAGTAGAAGAAGAACAAAAATGTAGTTAGCAGAAAGAATCTGAAAGGATCAAAAAGCAGCTGAAAAAGTAGCTGAAATTAGCTGAAACATGTTTAAATTTTCACAAAGAAGCTGAAGCAGAACAAAATGTGAAAGGAGCGGTAAAAGGTTGTGAACAGATCCAAAGATGTGAAGGAGGTAAAATTAATTCATTTTCTATGAGGAAAAAAATGGCAGAAAAGGCTAAATATTTAAAAAAGCTAAAGTTGCACCAATACCAAAAGTCATAGCAGGTTTATCCTGAAAGAGCTGAACGTTTTGATTTATGGTTTGTTGAAATAGCACAGAAGTTGTGGAACGAGAGAGATTCTGAAAAATGTATAAAAGAAAAGTGGATCACAATAGAGTGAATTCTTCATAAACGTTCACACAATAATATGATACTGACCTCGTGCAGTTTAAATCTTTGAACTCTACGCGTCTTCAGCTGCAGAACAAAAGTCCAGCTGCTTCGTCTATGTTCCTTTAATTCCCCATGTCCTACATGACTGAGAATCTACAGCAACAGATGATGCTAACGTTAGCTTCGGGCAGTATTGACAGTAATGTGATGGATCAATACTGTGGTTCTAATAAAACATTCCTGTGTCCGGAGGAGCCGACAAGAGGCAAGTTTCAGTGTAAACACTGGAGCAAACAATCATGTCAGATTATAATTTCATCGGTTCTGATTGCACGACTTCAGACTCACACATGCTAACACGTAGCATCCACATTAACTTCCTTAAACACAGCGTGCTGCATGTGACGTCATATTTTCTTCAGCGCATGCAGGTCGCCTCAGCACTGTAAACAGCTCACACCGGAGTCTGATGGAGGTCGTTTTTTTAATGATGTGAACAACCACGCAACAAAAAAGACAAAAATTGGAATTGAGCATTAAGACCTGCAGTGCGACCGTAGCTTTTTTAAAATGTTGTTCTTAACCTTTGACTAACCAACCTTGTTCCATGCAGTCGTCAGGCGTCAGTGACTCTTCACATGAAGGTTTACAATACTTGAACAGGTTTGGGACTGGAGCAGCTGAGGTACATCACATGTTGAGCTCTGCAGGTCTCATGCTGTATTAATGGGGGTGTTGGAAACCTCCAGTGTTGAAGCTCCCTCCATGATTTATTCAGATTTCTTTGAGTTTTTGTCATTTTTTGAATATTTCTTTGTCTTGTTTGTATTTAATTTGTTTCCGTCACTGTTTTTACCATTATATTGTTTCTTTCTTTCACTTCCTCATTTCCTGTTTTTGTTCACATGGTGTCACTCCCTCCTCTGACTCCCCCATTCCACCTTCCTGTCCTCCCACCACACCCACCCCCTTGTCTGTGTCCACTCGTCTCCGACTCCCAGAGACATTGTCAAACTGGTGGAGGTGTCAAACGACGGCGGGCCCCTGGGAATCCACGTGGTGCCTTTCAGTGGCAGGGACCGCAGGTAAACCAGCCAGAACCGAGCCGCGGTCCTGATCCGACAGGCCAGAGGAGATTAAAGGAGAACTGGGGAGGGGTCGAAAGATGTTCAAATCATTTGATGTGGCTCTCCTAAAAGATTAAAGCTGTTGTATTTATTTACACTGTTAACAAAACAAAAACAACAAAAGATAACCGTCTAATTGTATGGTCTTTATCAAAAATAACTATTATTCATTTTAACTACATTGGAAGACTTTATTTATTCTCAGTGGGGCTTGTCTGACGTTGAATTTAAATAATAATAAAAACAAAATTACCACCTATGCTTTTTAGTTGATGGCTTGGCACCTTTTATTGTGGTCTATTAAGACGTTCAGTACTGTGCAAAACTAGGCCTGTCGCGATAAACGATAAATCAATTAATCGCCTGATAAATGAAAATTATCGACCTCATTTTCATTTATCGGTTTTACCGTTTCTTCGTGTCTCTCTCTTTCTACTGAAGACACTGGAAGACAAAAGGTTCAACTCTGGTGCTCGTCACTGACCCCTTCAACTAAAAGCTCTAAGAGAATCACTTCACTGAAGCTAAAATACTATTTTCTTTTGTTTCTATTTTGATATTTTTATTGATTTTACAAAAAAAAAAAAAGGAAACAACTTGGATCGTTGTGAGAAACTGCCGGTAACGAATCTTAAGATCCAGTTTAAAATCAATTCTTCACGAAGTTGTCGACACAACGCCGGTTCACCTCTTGAGTTAAGGAGTTCCTTTTTATTTTTTCTGAATGACTGATAGTGATTTAAACTATTTGAAATATCAGCGGAAAATGGTCAGGTACTGGAGTCAAAGTATTCAAACATGCAGCCGAAGTTCAAAGAAAAAACTTTTAAAAACCTGCTGATCAAACCCACTTTTAAACACAAGAAGGTCTGCCGACCACGGAGGGCACAATAACGATTTAAGACTTTAGCACAGTGCTGCACATCTTGTTTTGGTTATTTTATTTTAATGTGTCTGTCCCAGTGATTATAAGCAGAAAACTGAGCTGCAGCATGTCAGACCAGCACAAACGGTGGTAAATACCGGACATTCCTCTCGGATGCTCAATCACTCCATCCGTCATTTACATCTGAAAGTATTCCAGTGCACCCCCCCCCCACACACACACACACGATGTTCTGTTTTCAGCTTCAGCATCGTGAAGCCATTTGCCCGTTTACAGTGATCAATCATGCTTGTTGAGGCCTCTCAGGTGACCGTCGTATGTTCCTGTGGCCGCTGTCACGTCGGGTTTTACGACGTTCAAAGAATAAACTGATCAGTGCACGTAAACACGCACACGTGCAACTTGCACACATGGGGCGAAGCTGTGAGGGAATTAAAAGAATTCAACATCTGGATTAAATCTACCCAGAAAGGCATTTTTTTTAAAGGTTGAGATCCAAGTCATGAGCAACATCCAGCAACGACCCTCGTTATAAACTGTACGACATCGTCTTGAAACGTGATGCGTTCAGGGACAGTTGACCATTCTGAGACAGTTAGATCCACGTCTGAGCTTTATGTTGGTTTGACAACAGCTCCATAAACTTTGTACGACTTTGCTCCAAATGCGGTCACAAACTGCGCGCTCTAAAACCGCAACCCGTCTCACTTTTCTCAGAGTTCAGCTTAATCAACCTAAAAGCACATTTATAACGCTCGTTTCTTTTATTGGGGAAACGTCAGTTTGGGAGCAGCAGCAAGATTAAGATGCTCAGCTTTCATCAGAGAAAGAGCCTCCCCACACAAATCACTTCGTGTTTATTTATTTATTTATTTATTTTTACTCAAATTCAATCGATGCGTTTTCCTTTTAACTTGTTTTTAACTTTTTTTTGCCCTTGAGATAATCACATTTTTATTTGTGCTGGACTAAAAGCTTTGGAGAACCGAAAACCAACTGGACCAATTACAAAAATGTTGGGATGTTCTCCATCATGTTTTAAAAAAAAAAAAGAAAAGAAAGAAAAACGGCAATGAATCCATCGTTTATTATATTTACTATTTACAGTGGGGCATAGTAAACCAATTGAAACTAAGAGACTGTAACTTAAAATAAACTTAGATAATTTAGATTTTATGGCAGCAAAACATCTTCAGTAAAGTTGGAACAGCTCTGTTTAGTCCCTGTGCAGCATCGCTCCTTCTTTTAGCAACAGTCTGACGTAGGATTTTAGCCGTTCTCCAGCTCTGGTTCTGCTAAATGGGAGCATCATTGTTCTAAAACCTGTATAACCAGCTCTGCATTGATCGTGCTTTTCAACACGTGCCCATGCCAGAGGCACCAATGCACCCCCATACCATCAGGGAGGCAGGCTTATGAGCTGCGAGTTGAGAACTGAGAACATGCTGTTCATGGTTGAACTCTAGATGATGGGATGTTCAAACTCTTTCCATTTTTCTGTCGACAAACATTATTTTGATAAATTTCCCACTGTTTTTAGACAGTTTTTTTTTTCCACAGACTGCCCATCTTAACTTCTTAAAGATTCAACCTTTTCAAAATGTTTTTTGTGCCCACTTCTCTTACTGGTCTGTTTCCAGTTAACCTAAATGTTGGACAAGGCTCCTCCAGCTGTTTCTTATTTGTACCATGTACTTTTACAACCTTTTGTTGCCCATATATCTTTTTTTAACATGTTGCTGCCATAAAATTCACTTTTTTTTTTTTCAAAAGAATGTAGTTTCTCTCAACAATGAATAGGTTTACTGTGTCCCATTGTGGGAAAAAACGGGTTTATGACTTTAGCAAGTTATTGCATTTACATTTTATACATCGTCCCAACTTTCTGGATTGTGTACGCTCGTGCAGGAAGAGTATACAGAGAGAGAAGACGCTGAAAGACTTGGTTAGTTTGATGTTTTCTGGCTCTTTGATCAGCTGCAACCGTCTGGTCAGCATCGTCGGGTACATCTGTTCTGGTGACGTTAGCTTCTTATGGCGCCTGTGTGGGGAGTTATAAACCATTTTACAGCAGATTGCACAGCGACGGCTGCTGCAGCTCAGCACCGCTTCACTCATCCTCGCTGATATTCGTGTGGGATTTTTTTCAAGCTCCTGAAAGCTTCACCCCCACTCCCAGTTGAGAAAAAAGAACCAAGGTTTTGTGAATACATGCAAACCATCAGCCAAACTAACGTTGAGGTATTGTATCGGTTTATTTTATGTGAGTAGATACAAACACTTGGAATGCTCTCAGCTCTTGGAAGGATCATTGCTAGCCACGTTTTTATAAGTACTTGTTGGTGCAGTGTACTTTTTATCTGTAGGTAGGCCTGTCATGATAACAGATTTTGCTGGGCGATTAATTGTCTCCGAAATTATTGCGATAAACAATAATATTGTTTGAAATTTGACAATAATTAGTAAGTATTGTCAAATTTAAGAGGAAATGCTGGTTAATTTGTTTTGTGTGTAGTACCTTTTTTCGACCACTGGATGGCAGTATAAGACTGTTTGAACCGAAGGATGGATAGTGATGGAGCGAGCAGCGTGTCTCTTTAAGACAAATGGGAGGGAGGTCCCTTGACGTGACATGGGCTGTCTCTCTTCGGTTCTCAAAATGGCGGACGCTTGATGTGGTTCGAGCTCTTTAGCATAACATTTGTCACACAAAGCTTTTTTTAAAAAACATCAGTAAACAAGTTCTCAGCTTCTTTTTGCAGAGAAAAACAACTTTTTACACGAAGGCACAGGTTTCAACCGTGAATTTTGGAGCTCGACAAGACGGAGGTTTTTTCCCCGAGGTCGGCCTGTTAGCTTAGCTCGTAGCTTAGCTTCTCAGCTTAGCTGCTTTTAATGATCCAAAAACATGATTTTGGACGGTTAAAATTGATTTTAATAAGAAAAGAGAAAGGGAGGGGTCAGTGAAGAACACCGGAGTTGAGCATTTTGTCATCCAGTGTCTTCAGTAGAAAGAGAAAGACGAAGAAACGATAAAGCCGATAAATGAAAACGTGGTAGATAATTTTCATTTATCATGCAATAAATTATTGTTTATCATGACAGGCCTATCTGTAGGAAGTCTTTGCACAGAGTTGCACCCTCTTTTATTTTAGCCGCATTCAGTTTGCAACAAACCAGTTGCAGTAACTCCTTAGGTGCCGTTTCTTCTCCTTGACGTGAACTTTTGAACATTTCAGGACTCTTGGCTTGTTGGTCAAGCGTCTGGAGAGAGGAGGGAAGGCCGAGCAGCAGGGCCTGTTCCAGGAGAACGACTGCATCGTCCGTATCAATAACGGAGACCTGCGAAACATCCGATTCGAACAGTAAGACGTCTCGCTGAAGAAATCCCTGAACCTCCTGTGGTTCCTCTGGACCTTATCTACATCCAGAGCTGGTCTTTTTCTCTCCTTGTTCGTCCCTCCACCCTTCTGCTGTGCTGCTGGTGCCCCTGACTCCTGATGTCTGTCCCTGCCACGCTAACCTTTCCCTGTTGAACTCCTGTAGGTTACAGCCTCGGCTGCTGATTCACTCCCTGCAATCGTCTCACCTTTTGTCCGTCTGTGTTTCAGCTCAGCTGGATTCCTCTTTTACCACCTTTTTCCTTCCTTTTTGTAAAAGGTTCCTAGAATTTACCGCCTCTGCTTTCAGTCGTGTTTTTAACGCTGGCTTCTGACTCCTTTCTAACACACGTGCTCATTGTTCTTTCCTTAGCTCAGTGCTGCACATGCAACACAACTGAAATCCAACAATGCATGCATGTGATTGAATTTCCTTCTGTTTGTATTAATCACGAAAAGTAGTTTAGTTTATTCTTAAAACAATGCCTCTGTCACGTTGCACAGAGGTTGTCTAGCCAAAGGCTAATTTGCGAGCCTAGTCCTTGGGCTTTTTACCCTGCGGTCAACAAAACAATTGTGATTGCATACGAGGACGATTGTTCAAATGATGTTTTGTACTTCTCTGGTTTAGATAAAATAAATCGTATTGCTCTTTGCATGGGCAACACAAGGATATAACCTAAATTATTCACAAATTTTATACAAACAGTTAAAATTGAAATTCCTTTTTGATCAGCCAAGAGTTCAATTGTTGCTACCTTCAAGTAAGAAGCAAAATATATATTTTTTCCCCACTAGAAAATCTCTTTTAGCTGTAAAGTAGACCTGACCCCACCAGCTTCTGCTGCTGGAAGCACAAGTTATGCAACAGGTGGGAATCAACCTTCCCTGCATAGCTTTTTATAAAATCTCTTTTTACAAAAGCAACAGCGAAACAGTTGTTCTTGTTGTTAAATGATCGTTTTATAGAGATGCTCTGCAGATTACATCTTGTCTGGCGCTCCACGCAGCCAAAAACCGGTAGCGATTCCATGACGGGACCATTGTTCTCAGGGAACGATGTTAGTAGCTGGGAAAAAGAGACAACGTTAAAGTTTTGGTTGTTAATTGATGGCAGGGGGGGAAGCATATAAAATGTTGGGTCCTTTTAATTCTTTCTAACATCCGCTCAGCTGTTGTGGGGGAGAAATAGCCATACCAACGTCTGCTTTATGGAAACAGGTGGCGCTAATAAGGCTCCACTTTACAGCGTGCTGACAGTGGACATAAGTTTCCACTCACACCTACTGTACATGAGCTCATTCTGAGGCTTTAAAGGAAGATTTTCTCCTTCATCTGCGGGGATTATGTGACGGAGCCGCCGGGGAGGGTTTGGTTTCCTTTTAGAGCTTCTCACATCGACACAAAGTGTTAATTACCATGTCAGATCGTTCAGGTGGGCGAAGACGGACATCTGGTAGGTGGACTGATCCACTTTGGAGCCGTGCATAGACAATTATAATTGCGCTCTATGTGATTAAGATTTGATAAGTGTGTGAGGCTGTAATCAGTCCCAAAATAAACCGCTTTGTCTCTTTTTCTTTTTGTCTAAGAGCTCAGAATATGTTCCGGCAGGCCATGCGTTCTCCTGTGATCCTGTTCCACGTGGTGCCGTCGTCCATGAAAGCCCACTACGAGCAGCTGTCTCACGCCGAGAGGACCCCTTCGTTCTCCTCGGGTCGCTTTAGCCCCGACTCTCTGATGGGCGTGGACCACCACCCGCAAAGAATGTCCCGCCACGGTTCCCAAACGCACCCACACTCCCATCCTCACCCGGACCGGACCGACAGCTACACACACCTGACCCCGCACCCCGCTGTCTCTGCAGCCAAACCTCCGACAGGCCACTCTCCACAGAAGGGGGCGAACTCCACCCCAACCACAGGGTTTACAAAGAAAGTGGGCAGACGGTTCAACATCCAGCTAAAGAAAGGTGAGTTGACAGACGATGTTGGGTAAAGTTCCTGTGTTCCAAGTGTTTTTGGACCAACATACGCCCGTCGAAGGCGGGGCTTATTGTGATAGTCTCCATCTATCCCTACGTACGTATATATGTCTGTAGACTTTCTCTTGCCCTGCCCATAACTTCCGATCGGCTAAAGATAATTTAACGAAACTTCATGCATCCCGAGACGGAGTGTGGCAGACATTTTTTCATCACCCCAGCTCTAAGGTCAAGGTCACAAATCCAAGTTAAAGTTTGCTGTATGCTGTACTCTTGTTGTAAAAGATTTGTAGGGCTATTTTAGTTGATGCTAGACCTGTCACGATAACAAATTTTGCTGGACAATTAATTGTCTCAGAATTTGTTGCGATAAACGATAATATTATTTGAAATTTGACAATACTTATTATTGTCGAATTTAAGAAGACATCTTGGTTCATTTGTTTTGAGTGTAGTACCTTTTTTCGACCACTGGATGTCATTATAAGACTGTTTGAACCGAAGGATGGATAGTGAGGGAGTGAGCAGCGTGTCTCTTTAAGAAAAATGGGAGGGCAGCCCCTTGACGTGACATGGGCCGTGTCTTTTCAGTTCTCAAATGGCAGACGCTGAGTGTGGTTTGAGCTCTTTAGCATAACATTTGTCACACAAAGCTTTTAATAAAAAAAACAGTAAACAAGTTCTCAGCTTCTTTTTGCAGAGAAAAACAACTTTTTACACGAAGGCACGGGTTTAAACTGTGAATTTTGGAGCTTTGACAAGACGGAGGTTTTTTCCCTAGGTTGGTCTGGTAGCTTAGCTTGTAGCTTGATCCAAAAACATGATTTTGGACAGTTAAAATGGATTTTGAAGAGAAAGGGAGGGGACAGTGAAGAGCACCGGAGTTGAGCCTTTTGTCATCCAATGTCTTCAGTAGAAAGAGAGACACGAAGAAACGATAAATCCGATAAATGAAAATGAAGTTGATAATTTTAATTTATCATGCGATTAATTGATTTATTGTTTATCGCAACAGGCCTAGTTGGTGCACATCATCTCAGTGTCCACGTCACACCTGCCTCGACCCATTTTATACCCACCTTTAGACACCCCATGTTCATATTTTATTGTACTAGAATACACCTTTGAAAGTGAGTGAGCCCGAGTCGAACCAGTTCTTTAAATAAATATTTATCGTCAGTGTAGTTTTTGGGCCTGGACCTTCATGGCTCTGATAACTCTGTCAGTGGAAACTTCTGTCCAGGTGTCAAACTTGTAATAAAACATGAGTTTATGAGATTTGCATTCTGTTTTATTTACGTTTTACTCTACATGAAGTTGAAAAAACGTAATGTTTTCCCTATTTGACAGATTTGACACACAACAAATGCAGCTCTTACTATGGCGACATTGTTTATCTATTTTTTTGTGGAAGAACATTATTCACAAGGGACATGACCCCTGACCCTAATGATCTTTTGCACCATCACCACGTTCCTCTGGTCAGGTGACTGCTAACAGAACAGAGACATTGTTCTTATAATCTCTCTTTAGGTGATCCAACAGTTCTTATGACCCTCAGAGAGCTCTAAGAACCATTTGGTCCAAAACCACGTCTGGTTTCTGCAGAGTCAGTTGGAAACATTGCTGCATGATCATTCAAATCCATTAATAGAGATGCTCTTTATTGTTATTGTACATGGTAAATATCCACTCCCACTGTGTTACATCAGTTTGTGTGTGCTGTGGAACGTGCTTTATGCTTTTCAGAGCTTTTTTTAAACTTTGAAACGATCAAAAAATTATCCTGATGCATGCTCAATAATCCAGGTAGAAAAATCCAAAAAAGGAGGAGGAGGAGGTAGAAAAGAGAGCCTTGACGTCCTTTTCAGGGACACCACCAAGTCATTGGTTCAGGTATGTTGACGACACCTGGGTTAAAATTAAATCTCAGGAAGTCCAACATTTTACTGACCACATCAACTCTGTGGATAAATACATCAAGTTCACACGAGAAGATGTAAAAAATGGCAAGTTGGCTTTCTTGGACTGTGAGGTCTCAGTCTCGGATAGAGGACATTTGCAAACCGAGGTGTACCGCAAACCCACCCACACAGACCAGTATTTGCAGTTTGACTCCCATCACCCTTTGGAGCACAAGTTAGGAGTCATCAGGACTCTGTACCACAGAGCAGACAGCGTCCCCACTAGCTCAGGAGCCAGGCAGAAGGAGAAATCCTACACAAGACAGGCTCTAGAGCAATGTGGATATCCTAACTGGGCCTTCCTGAAAGCAGAGAAGAAACCCAAACAGGACTCCAGTCAGCCATCAGGTGAAAAGGAGGAACCCAGACCCAGACCAGTGGTCATTCCATATGTTGAGGGAGTATCAGAGAAACTGAGACGTTTATTTTCTAAACATAATGTCCCAGTGGCTTTTAAACCCCAAAATACATTACGGCAAAGACTGGTTCATCCCAAAGATCCAGTCCCCCGGCACAAACAGAGTAATGTTGTGTATGCTGTTCAGTGTCAGGAGGGTGATCAGTCTTACATCGGGGAAACTAAACAGCAACTGGCCAAAAGGATGGCCCAGCACAGAAGATCAACATCATCAGGCCAGGACTCTGCGGTCTACACTCATCTCCAGGCCAGCGGTCACTCTTTCAGGGATGAAGATGTTCACATCCTGGACAGAGAGGAACGATGGTTTGAGAGAGGAGTAAAGGAGGCCATCTTTGTGAAAAGAAACCGTCCATCATTAAACAGGGGTGGAGGCCTCCGGGTTCAACTGTCCCCCTCTTACAATGCTGTGATTGCTGGTATCACTCAGCCCTCTGTGAATAGTAAACAGCCATCAGGGTGCTAATGATCCATTGTTAGGCTGATGGTCCTTCTTGAGCATGTGATCAGCTGGTTTTGGTTGTCAGCAGCAAACTGGTTGAGCCACTCTGAGAAGGTGCTATTTAAGAGACTGAGCTGAATACAGCACCTCAGACTGAGGAAGTCTCTTGGATGAGAGACGAAACGTTTCTACATTTTTTTGCTTTTTTTTTTTTTTGAATGTCCAGAGGACCAGATTGAACTTTTTTGGATCAAAAAAGTAATTCTGTCCTCCCCGGTGCATCTAACAAAGTGTGGAAAAGGTTTCCGGAGACACCTTAAAAGACTTTTGCCAGTTGAAAGGGAGCAGCAGGCGGTGCAAACCTGTAGAACCCGACGAATCCAACAAATGCATCTGCAGCCGGTGACAGAGATGAGGTTTTTACAGAGGAGGCTGTGACTGACAGCTGGCACAGGTGGTGCAAACCTCTGCCAACAAGATTTCAGGTGTCAGGGCCAGGAAGCTTGTTGCTAAGCAGCTACCGGTCCCTGTGGGCTGTCAAAAGCCACAGAAGAGCGTCCGACAGGGCTGCACCGTTTCCCTGTTGGAAAAATTCACCCAGATCTAACCCTCCCCCACGAGACAGGAAGCCGTCCGGGATGTGAAAAACACCCAGCTGTTTGTTGCATAGTCAAAGTTGCTTCAGCTGCAGCTTTATTTCTTCTCGGCGTGCTCTGAATCGCTGCATTCTGCACATGACCTGCACGATCTGCCGTGCTCGCAGCCAAAGATGCCATCTGACTTGTTTGCCGTTGCTCAAGCAGACACTCGCAGGGATCACCAGCGAGGCGGTTCGGCTCCTCTTGTTTTGTTTAGAGGACGGACTCAAACCCGCAGATTAAACTCGCTCATGTGCTTGAATCAGACACCGGTCTCCTCGCAAATCCCACCGAGTATCAAAATCAATCAAAACGTGCTATTCTGCTCAGGAAATTGCTTAGGTGTGTCTTAATCATGCTAATGGGAGTCTCAAAGATCCTCCTCTTTGTTTTAAGCAGGAACTGTGCACGGGTTTACCGGTGAGAGTAATAACGGCCCTCGACTGCCTGCGGGAAGTTGATTGCTTCATCAATGAGGGGGATTAGTTTGAGGATGTACAACAGAGTGTTTTACTCTCCTTTGCATCAGCTCAGTTGAACAGGCAGGATGGATTAAAGTCGCAGCTCTGGGCTGCTCGTAAATGAACTTAAAAAAAAAAATAAAGGAGTCATAATGTTGGACAGATCTCTGCAGCGCCTGACCTGGATTATTGCTCATCTGTTGCTTTTGCACACGACGCTGCTTAAGTTCTGATCATCTGCAAGTTACCACAGATGAAGATAACGAAACATCAAGGACCCCGTTGCCGCTGGAAGTTTAATCTCTTATTAAAACGGGCTGCGGTTTGGTTCATTTTCGAGCTTTAATTAAATTTCAAGCAAAAGTCCTAAAAAGTCTTCCGGCTGAACTTCCTCTTTTACAAAATGTAACCGAGTGTAATGATTGCGTGGTTCAGCTGTAAAAAAAGAAACGCTGTTGTTTCCCCTTACAGCTAAATGTTGTTCTGTAGGACTCTCAGGAAAGATACTCGAGCCGACAGGATGCAGGATTTTACAAGTTTCCTGTTAATTGGGACTTTATTACAGACTATAATAAACTATATGAGCTATAAGAGTCTGTGAATATATTTTGAAATGATTTATATTTGTAAATAAAAAAATGCTAATGATGGAAAATGTGTTTGTGTGTGTGATAATGAAAACAGAAGAAATTAAAAGTGTGAATTCGTTGAAAGAAAGCCCATCACCTGTTGCTTTACACACCTAATTTAAAAACAATATCTTTGCAATCTGTTTGTCCTCAAAATATGTTCTGGGTACTCTCAGCTACTACCACACCGGCTTTTAGATCATTTTCTGTAAAGCTGCCCGAGTGATACTCATGTTTGTGTTTGCTACAGTAAGATCTGTTAGATGTGGCCAATATCAGTTACTGCAAGCGACCCCCCCCCAAAAAAAAGCAGTGGGTAATAATAAAAGCATAAATGTTAAATAAACATAAAGATAAAATTAGAATATTTTAGCAGGTACCACTTCAGTCACAACAGTTTGCCAGAATGACTTCTCTAGAAATGTCAGAAAATATAAAAAAATGAAAACATCCATCCATCCATCCATCCATCCATCCATCCATCCATCCATCCATCCATCCATCC